TATATATATATATATATATATATATACATATACATATATACATGCACACACACAGACACACATACAGACACACTGACCTACAACGACACGCATGCATACATACACAGGGACAGACACAGACACGGCGACAGCCACGGACACAGAAACAGGCACACAGAGTCACAGACACAGGCACAGTCACAGACACAGGCACTGACATAGACAAAGACACAGACGCACAAACACACAGACACGGACACAAACACATACGCACACACACGGACACACACACACACACATATACAGACACGGAACGGACACGGACACGGACACAGACACAGACACAGGCACAGACACAGACACAGACACAGACACAGACATAGACATGGGCACATACACAGGCACAGACATAGACATGGGCACATACACAGGCACAGGCACAGATACAGGCACAGAAACACAAACACGCAGTCACATCGACACAGACACATACACTCGAATATACTTTAACTAGCAGTATGCGAAACACAGCAGTCTTCGCGCGATAGCAAAACATGCCTAAATAAATATGCTTACTTTTCTTGTAGAACGAGGCGATCTATTTTTATGTACATACATATCCACGTAACATTTATGATGAGCATATGGGAGCAGTATGTAGTGAGTTGTAGAGGAATTTCTGTAGAAGGAACTTCTATTCCAAGTATTGTGCTTCAAGCTTGTTCAACTGACAACTGCTCACTGCTCAAACCTCAGAGTGCTCACTGCTCATTCCTCACTCAGCCAGTCAGCGTCAGCGGTCAGCGGTCAGTCTCTCTGTAACCTGTAATAGACTAATAGACTAATAGTGTCTCAGTCTTAGAGACCGAACTGACTCAGACAGTCTCAACTCTTAAGTCTCAAGTCTCAGGCTCACATCAGTCTGTCATCACTCATCACCCATCATCTCTCTCAAGTCTGAAGTCTGAAGTCTCAAGTCTCAGGGCGGTTCTGGCGGCCAGCCGGCCAACTTCCAAGTGCCAGACGGCGCAGGCCTCAGGCCTCAGCGGTTCTCAGCCGTCATGACCCAGGACTCAGGTCTCAGGTGCTGTGTCACAATGTCAGTCAGTCTGTCACCTGTCAGGTGTTATCAAGTGTCAACCACAGTCTGTCACAATAACATGTAGTTCCATGGCTCACGGGTCCTTTTTTGTTTCGTGAGGTGCGAGACGGCCCTATAACCGAGTCACCGGATGCACATTGTACAAACAATGGACGAGCGCTGCCTGACGCGAGTCCTTTTTGTGCGTAAACAATAAACGCGTACATTTCTCTCACGTGCATATACGTTTTCTAGAAACAAGCATGTATTTACAAATATCTTTAGATAAATCCTTATCACTGTATTAAATCCTTATCTCTTTATAATATCAATTCGCTCTATACAAGACAAGAGTGTACTATACTACTATGTAATGTTTCATATTTTTGTATAGTTTCCATGATAACCTGATTCAGTGGTTCAATCACAACTCGTACTGGTTTATCATGTGATTTCTCGGGGGCTAAGGACACCCTTCGGGCCTTCTCTCATTACTACTACTATTAGTAGAGTGAGAGGGAATAGAGGCGAGCAGAGAATAAATAAATTCTACTGGGCGGTGGACTGATATGTGAATCCGTAGGAATATAGTTCACAAGATTTGAATGGCCCAAACCGCAAGTGTAAAAAGCATACATAGCGATTAGCTCACTAAGTTGTCTCAGGCAATACAAACTCTGTGCTGCTGCAGCCAATAAATTATAACGCACCCCACATGATTCTGCACTCTTCTAGAGTACATTCATGAAATATGCATATGGTGTTACAACTGATAAGCATTTTAAAAAGCAAAAAAAATAACAATTGTTTCTCCTTCTTCTTGCATCTTTCTTTTTTCTTGTCTCAGTACAGGTTGAGTCTCTCCCCGCCCCTCCTATAAACGTACTAGCTAAGTTGATACGGCCGAGTGTGTCTAGTCTATACAATCATACAGACTCAGCTCGTTCACGTTCACACAATGCAACAGTCTGGTCGGCAGTGTGTCGCTCAGTTGGTGTGTCACGTAATAGGCCAGTAGCTCCATTTTCCTGAGGAGAGGAAACAAAGGGGTGCGCTGTGCGTGTAAGAGGTGATGCTTTTCCAAGGTCCTGATTTATTATGTGGCATACTGATGTGGTACTTGTTGTACAAATGGCGCCCTACGATATTTGCATACATGGGTGTCTCGGTGGTTGACGTGTGCAACGTGGTGTATGAAATTTACACCAACAGCCGGGGAGACCTATCGCACTCTTTGAATGAATGAAGGTGCTTGGGAATCACATTATAATAAATGCGCGAACAGAGAGACTTCACCGCTAAAGCAGCAGCAGGAGACTATTCGTGGTTTATACAGATACTACATATTTGATATATATGGATACACACACACACACACACACACACACACACATATATATATATATATATAATANACACACAACACACATACAACTACGACANATATATACTATATAACTAGTANANANANANANACACACA